CCCAGTGGTGTGTGGGGGCCAGGAATTCAATGTCCACAACTCTGGATGGTCTTGACGCTCCTGGTAGTCTCCTTACTAGTTCCTAGTTCCTCGGTTGGTGGCGGAATGGAAGAGTGGGGTGCTAGCAGATTTGGGGCGCAGGGAGCTCCTCCCTGCCTGGGCGTGTCCAGCCCAAGTCAGCTGGCGCAGGCAGGTGTGGGGAGGGGTGGGGGGGTCGGGATGTATGGTGTTTTGGGCTGGAGTCAGGAGCGGGCAGAGACTCACTCACCTAGTTCCTCAGTCAGTCGGCCACCAGCTTACTCTTTTGCTGTCTTTGATGGGAACAAACTTGGCAGCTTGCCTTTAAATTCCATTTACAAATTTCTAGTAATTTCCAAAGTGTGAGCATCATAGTTTACTAAAAAATTTATCTATAGGAGATTCAGCCTTCATGCTTTTCTTATGTGCCAATTAGTTATATATTACTGTGGCAGAGTTCTTGAAAGAGTGATAGATGATAGATTAGATATAGATGATAGAAATTGAGCAAGAGGAATTGGCTCACACTCAGAAGTCTTTATCTATTCACTGAACTAGAACTTGAGTTCTAGTTCAAACTTTAAGGACAGAGAAGCAGGGAGACTGGCCAGAGTCTGAAAGCCTGAGAACTAAGAACTAGAGGTGCTTGACAGGCTGATAAACCTGGGTGATAGGGGGAAAAACATGAAGTCAAGAATAGAGAGTTCAAATACAGCTGTACAGCTACAATGGGTGACAGTCAAGAGAAAGCCTTTTAAAAGGCTAAGGGGAGGCATTAAGGCAGAGGTTCAGTGTCACAGTACTCAACACTCAGAGCAGTCACAGCTGGGGCCTATGATGACTAACTCCAAGGTAAGAACAGTCCTGCTATGCTGAAGATCCTAGTGTCATATTTTGAAGCTCAGCACAACCTTCACTCATCCCAGGATGGCATCCACACAAAAGTCACAGGCAAAGAGGACTTGCCTTCTCTTTTCATTCGGGTTATAAAAGGACTGGATGGTCTCATATCAGGGAAAGTATCTTTACTATTTCCCCAGCATATTAGTTTATCTTTCAGAAATAGAGACATACCGAGGAATAATGTTTTACCATCTGTTGTGGCCCCCTTAGCCCAAAGTGACCCGCAAATTAACCAAATTTTAAGATCTCCAAACTGTAAATTTTCTGAGTATCTGATAGCAGTAGTAGGCTGGCTCAAGGCTCAGGAATAAAGTGCACCTGTGACCTAACAGTAAGTCTCCCCAGCACTATTTAACCTCCCTCCTTTAACACAACAGAATCTGACACAGGGGAACTAAATTCAGTTCAGACAGAACTAAACATTTATTAGAGAAAGTTAGTTTGTGGTACAAATCGGGTCACACAGTCTGGTAAACTCAGTGCCATTCTGTGTTCTAATACAGATGCTTCTATTACAAAAAGTTATCCAGGCAAATGCAACAATATCTTGAAGACTAACAGTTAACAGTTTACCAAATATTATGACTTAATTATAGATAGAAGCGCACCCCACCCCCCAAATATCTTAGGCAGTTTTCATACACTGAATAGCACTGTAACCAATTTCTAATTACCCAAGTCTTAGGACAAAAAGGAACAGTTTCCAAAGTACTTACAGTGGCTACTTTGGGACTATGGCCTTTCTGAATAAATGCTACCTACCTAACCATAGACAATAAGCATTTTAAAATAGCATATTTTTAAAACAACAATATTCAAGAAAGTAAGCTTCACAGAGGAATTTTTTGTTGTTGTTGTGGCTGACCACTGTGTCTAAAATGATGCCTGGTTAATAGGGAGGGGCCTGGTTGCTGTAGGATGAGTAAATTCCACATGAATTTCCCTTAAGTACTTAAGTTATAGGCATTATTAAAAATATATATTATATATGTATCATTTAGCTACAATCATTAATTCAAGCATTAAAAACAGGCTTGGAACAAGGTTAGAGGTCTGAAATTCAGCTGCTGGAAATCCTCTTCATTCAGTAAGTCTGTATTCAGGATTCACTCCAGAAAAGCACATTCTTGATGTCTCGGCAAAGCAGTCTGTAAAAACCAAAAACTGATTAACATTTCTTTCGTCTGCTCATTTTGACATTTAATGCCAAACTGCCTGCTAAATATATGCCCATCCCCACATAATTTACATGGGTAAGAAAAAACAAAAGGCCTAGCTCATGAAGTCTTTCTGGATTTTCTATCCAGAGGTGACAGTAAGAACAAGTAAATAAATAAATTGCTGTTCTTGAAATGTCTATCTCTACCAAAATAGTTGAATAAGTTATCAGAGAGAGAGAGAGAAAGAGAGAGAGAGAGAGAGAGAGAGAGAGAGAGAGGTGAGAGAGAGAAGTTTGATACTCCTTTGACAGATGTAGGAATAGGGATACTTCGGAAAATAATCAACATATCCGCATAAATTTTATGACAAGGTTGGGACATGTTACGTTTTACATGGCCTGCTTTTGGCCAAACACACATACGTACACAATACCCAAATCACACCTAATCTGTCACAACCTACTAATTTACTATAGATCCTAATAACAGATAAAAGTTTCTAGAAGTTAACTTCAGTTCCTTCGCGGTGGTTCAGGAACTCAAGACTGCAAGGGTGCAAAGGGAGACAGACCACTGTCGCTTTCTCCCAGCTGCACCGCCCGGCTCGGCCTCCCCGGGAAGACTGGAGCAGTCCCCAGTTTCTGGGCACTTCAACTCTGCCCTCGATCTGGATATTCACCAGGGCAAGAGGTACACGAAGATGAACAACACCAGGTCGAACAGGAGGAAGAGCCAGAGATCCAGCCAGTAGGAGTGTTTCGGGAGCCCGTTCGTCCCGCACTGAGGCCGCTCCTCTCGGTTCTGCTCCCTCCCGCCAGCTCCGGACGGGCCTCCCCGCTCGCGGACGCCGTCGGTCCCACTGGCCGCCGGGTTCGCCTCCAT